TGTATATATAAATACCGGTAAGGAAAAGGAAACTGAGTTGACCAGTTCTAGTTTTTTTAACCGTCGCCCCCCGGTTGGATATGGCCGGCTGACGATGGCTCATATACCATAAATAGCTATCTCAGTCTCTCCTTTCTTTGTCGGTGCTCTTTCCTTCATTCAGTATGTGACCACCTATGAAAGCTCTAAAGTGCGTCTAAAGACGCAACGTGGCAAGTATATCCCGTAGCCCAGTGGATGAACGCTCTTCTGCCATAATATAAATATATACCTATTTTAACGGAGAATGAAATTTCTTTGATGTATTTACTTTCTTCTTTCAGATGGAGTGATCTCTAGATCAAAGGATAATGTGAGTCGGATTAAATATCTCATGAAGTAACTTTTCATTGGTACAATAAGGTGACGACCGCCCACATAGCAGGCCTGTTACTGTTGGGGGAATGCTATTTTGGAAAAATTACCGGATCTGTTCGCAAATGTTACAACAGTTGTTTATAGCTTGAGTAATGACAGAGAAACAGTATCAACAAAAACAGGGTAGACTGTAATGACCATTTCTGGCTAATTGGCTGATATCAGCCAACCAAACTCAACCCCAGGTAGTGCATCACCTAGGGCTTAAGCCCAGAACCTGTCGGTTAAAAGTTTAACGTTCTAACCCATTGAGCCACGGGATCGTTTGATCGGGAATATTAAAATTTGTGGATGGGCGCTCACCGAACAGGTGCGGGACTCACTCTACTCCCTTGTTTTGTCAGAAGTGCGCTTAAAAGTATTAAATTAGCCAATGCAGGCTCCTCACGGGGCTCGAGAGTAAGCCCTAAGCAGTACGGAACTATTGACGTCTGTAACCGGTTTGTGAGCGTTCACCGGCCAAAGTTAATATTCCTGATCCAAACCGGCAAGACCACGAGCCCGCGACTCAATATTTCGGGGCGTTGGACCACAGGTCGCGAGTTCGAGCTCTGGATGTTGCACCGCCTGGGGTTGTGCATAATTGGTTCATGACAGATAATAAGCCGGAAACGACCATCTCAGTCTCTCTTGTGTGTGTTGCGGGAATGCACATTGTATGCGGTGTATGAGCACAGTAGCAGGCCCTTCACACACATATTTGCTATCTATGACATCGGCTTCCGCAAATATGGACTTGGCTTGCTGTTGTTACTCTTAAATCTGTCGAGTTGATAGCAGCTTTAGACAAGACATAGTTACTTGCGTGTTGCTGGAATTTTCAGTGCGAAGCGTTGCAGTTCCCGCTTATGCGTTCATATCCCTTCACAATCCCTTCTCATTTGGAGTATTTTCTTTCTTAAACTCGAGCGGACTTTCTGCTTCTAGAGTTAGTCCTGTAACGGATTGATGAACGCCCATCCACCAGAAAGTGAGAATCTCACAAATAGATAGGATACGGGAATAGGTACCTTCCAAAGTACAGGTGGACTTGCCCTAAATTTCAAGGGGTTAGGGGTCAGATTGGAATTAAGTGTTAAGGCTAGGTTTAGGACACGGAAATGCGTGCAAACCTGCAATATTGCTCAAAACCGTCTCTAGTGCGGAGACTACCTAAGCCCGCTTTCAACCCTGAAATATAAAAGAAGAAGCGGAGCTCTATCAGGCTATTTTTGTAAACAGAATTGAAAATTATGATGCCGGAACGCTGCTTTATCCTGCCGAAACAAAGCGTCGTTCGTTTCCATAGAAACCACAGATTCATTGAGGCAAGAAGTATGAACAGAGTAACAGGCCCTTCACACACCTTTTTGCTATCTATGACATCGTCTTCCGCAAATATGGACCTAGCTTGCTGTTGTTACTCAGGGCACGTCAATAGAGGCTCATAAATATGATGTTAGGTGGGGTTGTACTACTGAAGAGCACGCGCACAACGCAAAAATATTCAAATTAGGTCAGTATGTCGGCTTTTATCTGCGCGTATTTTCGACTATGTGAAAAATCTAGCTTCATAGAGATGACTCCTTTTGTAGTTTGTAAATGTATGGTGGTTTTAGAGGATCTCACGAATTCAAAGATTATTTAAATGTAACATCCATTGAAGTGTCATTCTTTTTAAGCTTTTTAGGAGGGCTGCTGGAAGTAAGCGACTTTTTCGGGTTAAAGGTTGTTAAATTACCGAATACCTTTAAACCAGACATGTCGATTTAGCTGCGCTCAAGTTGTACATTTTCCATTTAACAAAAAGGTATAAAACCTTTTGAGTTGTTAAGAAGGCTCTATATATTGCTGGTTAAATTTGATATAGGATGTGTTGGATAGCTTATAAGTTGCATTGATAAATGAAGACCTGCAAAGCCACTTAAATAAATAGTTCACAATCCTAAATTAAATTAAATGGTACCTTTTTGAAATAAAATATTTAAAAAAGATAACATTTCCCGCAAAGTACATATAAGAATAATTATTTTTGGGCAACTTGGCTGTATTATATGTGAAAATTTAAAAGAGCGTAGGAAATCAGCGGCGAGTAGTTCTTTTAAGTGAGCGGGGATTTCGCTGGTGGTCAAAAAGACATGCATTAAAAGGCTGGCATCCCGACGTAACTGATTACCTTGCAGCATACTAAACCGTATTATAGCCCCACATAAGCAATAATCTCTAACGGAGATCACACTTCTGAATTTTAGTTAACCTTTTATGCGGTTCGTTATCTAGTGCGGTGCATGGGCTTAGTGGTTTGGTGGGTATCCCACAAGAAGATGATAGACTTGAATGTTTCCAAAACATCCTGTATATTCAGTAGTCTGACATAGGGCCTGCCTAATCCCCTTGTCTTATAAGTCCGTATTCTTCAAACGGCTACGTCCACATGCTGGCCTACCACCATACTCGTGCGATGTTTTCATGTGTTTATCATTTAACCGGCATTACATCTGCACAAGTTTGACTTATTACTAATATCCATTATTATACGCCAATACATCTGCTAATTTAAGCCAAATGACATGCATTAGGTGTTCTGACTTAGGCGTTCTGTGTCCACAAGAAACGCCACAGTCTTTCTGTGGATCCCTTGGAGTTGCTAGAGTTACTTTGATCCTTAGTTCTTGTTCGTCAAACAGCTTAACCCAAGATCCTGATCATAAACTGCGTCAAAAATGCTAAGCATGAAGTG